GTCCATTTACCATTTACCAATACAGTACATTACCAGTACAATAGTTGTTTAATAGTGAGTATCAAATTTAACAGTGTATTCATGCCAGTAATCTGTTGCTGGTTGGCTTCTGAAGTGTGCTTCTGGGTAAAAGTGAGTGTATGTGAGTGGCCCACAAGAGGCCTCCTTTGTTAGCTCTACCACAATGGTAGAATGTGTGTGTGTGTGTGAGTGAGTGGTGTACCTGGTCCTCCTCCCCGCCTCCCTCCTCGTCATAGTTGAGGACGTTCTCTCGGATGTCCTCCCAGCCGTCATGGTGGGCTGAGACGTGGTAGACGCCCTCCTTCAGCCCCTTGTAGCTCCTCCAGCGAGTGTAGAGGAAAATGCCCAACAGCAGCACTGCAGTTAAAGACACACAGCGGTGGAGGTTCATCACTGCAGCCATTAGCATTACAAATGAAAGGATTAGGATCCTTCAGCCAATTAAGGTGCAGCCCCAGAGAGAGGTGCTGTTTGATGAAGTTGGCCTTGAGCATCATTTGCCGAAAAATGTGAGCTGAAATGTGATAAGTTGTAGGGTTCAGCTGCTAACGATGCTTTAGGGTTCAAGATAACAGGAGTTATTTTAGGGATGATAACTTTTTACTTAAGCAGTGCTTTACACACACCTCCCTTCAAAACAGTCACAAACTTTCTAAGCATCACCCCCCTTACCTTATTCTATATATACTGTTGGAAGAGAAACCATTCTCAGGGCAAACTTGCCGTGAGTGTTTGTGCATCCCCAGGAGACCAGGTCCACCTGAGCAGGTGTTTTTAGCTAACCGTGTAAGCCATCTGGACTCGGAGATTGCAAAATCCATCTTGCAGGCTTTGTCCCATGAGGAGCTACAGGAAGCTACGGCATGAGATAAAGGCGTGGTTTAATATAAACCTGGGGACGGGACCCCCATGAGGGGTCGCCAAAGCTTCATGGGGGATCGTGAGGCCTTCTTGATTTTAAGGGATGTAAGAAAAACTTTAAAACTACAGACAGTAGTATATCGCAGCATTTTGTTTATTTCTGTAAGGAAAACTAAGTTTAGATTATAATATATATATTATTGTATTATATTAATATTATATATATTATATATTAGTTTATTTCATAATTCAAAGTGTGTTTTTGTTTATTTCATCAGGTTTCACACAAATAATGTAGTTAGTCTGTGCTGTGAAAACAGTTCATGTCAAAAATGATTTCATATTTATAATTGTTTGAATGAAGGAATTTGTAAGAAATTTTCATCTATGGAAGGAACTTTTCAATAAATAAATATACATTTTCTTCTTTATATTTTCAATTCAGACCACCTTTCTCTTAAACAGCATTTCTGTCATTCAGGTCACAGTAACTCTCCAGTGACTGAAAAACAACAGCAGGATGTATTCATACTTGGATGGGGTCAAAATGTTGCATTAGAATTATATCGGTTTAAAAATGTCCCCACTATCATGTTGAACAGTCATTAAATATTTAATGAAACATCATCATATCAGAGCTTCACATGACTGGCTCGATTGGCCAGTATCAGATTTTAATTACTCACATGAAGCTATTTAAAATGTAGATTAAAATGAGGATTCACATCCTCACTATTACAGCTGCCAATATGTCTGTAGTTAAGTGTTGTTATTGCCCTGTAGGCATACAACATGCTTCAGATTATAGCCAGTGTAGGCAGTGCTGGCAGTGTTTGGTTGTAAGTGACATTATATTCCAAGAATATTAACGTTGCCCTGGCCAGCGGAAGCACAGACAATTAGTGTCTGGATGTTTTATTAGAGCTACTAACTATACACTCCCATTTGACAGCTTTGAAATGTGAATTGTTCACATTTTACATGCACTCCAGGAGGTGTTAACATTAATAAAAAAAAATGTATGTGGTAGAAAATAAGAGGAAGGGCTCAGAAAACGTGGCTGCTTTCAGTTTCTCTTCAGAAAGAAAAAAAGCAGATTGTCGGCAGCACGCACACACACACACACCAATTTACATTTATTTCCCACTGTAGCGTTGCTGTGACCTTTTCAGATGTCTAACAAATCCCTTGCGCCTTGTCTCATCACTATCACCTTCTGCCTTAGTTAACACTTTACAATTCACCAGCCTTCCCATAATATCAACCTCCTTCACACCCACACAAAGTCACGGTTTCACTCTACCATGCTTCTCAAATCAAACAACTGGATCAAAATGCCTTTTTGAACTGCAAAAGGTGCAATGTTGAGACAATATTTATTAATTAATACCACATTACATAATTTATTGAGCTTGAATGAATTATTTCCTGAGTCACACACTGTCTTCAAACCTGTTTGTACATTAGAGCTGTGATTAATCACACAATGCAAACAATTTCAACTGGCAGCACTAGAAATACCCCAGCTGTTAAAATCCTATTAATCTGTGGTGAGAAATCATTGCGGATAATCTGCAATCTCAATTCTAACATCTTTTTAAACATATGCTGCTCATCTTCTTCTCCATCAACCTCTGCGTTTTCTTTTCCGTCCACACATTGTTCTCCTACATCACAGCTAAAAGTCAGCAGCCAATCCATCATGTAAACACACCAAAATATGGCACTCAAACTCCCCATGAATTGATAACACCCTATTAAACAAGCCCACCCTCTGACAACTCTGTAAGAGTAAATCCACTCAGCCAGAAACCAGCTGCACAGTACAGGAGGAAAAATCAATATTCATTTACTGTCAACTTGTCCCCCTCACCACAACTCCAGCATGTGGCAGATTTATAAGATGAAATTGTTTCAAAAGATTAACTGTTTCATTTTTAGAGTGGTATTATGGCTTTAATGGCAGTGAACAAGCAGGGGTAAAAAAGATAAGGAAACTGAAAGACGGACTTGTGTTTTGTCAGTAGACACGTGACTGGCTGCTGCAGCAGAGAGTGGCCTTGATGTTAGAAGGTTGCGGGTTGAGTCCCCTACCCCGACTGCAATGGTTCTCACTTACTGTGGGGTGCCCTGAGCCTCCCAAACAGAGAAAGACAAAATAAAATAAGAAAAATCAAAAAGAAGCAGCTGGTCCTGCAGCCTGGAGGTTTCCAAAGATAATCATAATATGAGACTGGGTCATATTAAATGCTGAAAATAAGAGCACTGAGCAACGAGATAATGACTTAAATTAAATTCACTGAAAAATGAACAAATAAATAAAACTATAAAGACTTATCACCTGTGGGTGAGTGAGTCGTTGTTTTGATAGCACGGTCAAGAGGATGTACATATAACGCTGTTTCACTGATAGACAGTTGGTGGCGACAACACAGAAAAAAAACTCCACCAACAAACTGCAGGGAAAAAGAAGACGGCTAGGGAGCAAACATCAATGGGAAATATAGACAATTGATGGGCTCCAAGCAGATTGCGAACATTTGGGTCCTTGCTTCTTACTTAATTGATAAGCACTTGAAAACACACGACATGCACATGTTGGCAAGTAAGACTCGACCATGTTGGGATTCGAACCCTGAACCTTTGTATCCTTAGAGAAGGTGACTTATTGACTGCACCACTGCGGAGAAAACAAGACACTTTCTCACAAGTTGAGGCAATGACTTCACATGTGCTGGGGTATTTTTGTCTCTTTAAACTTACAGTCAAAATGTTAGTGAGAAAACTAGTTTTGGCCATCAGTCCAACTGGTAAAATTGGACCCACCAAGTTAATTGCTGGGATGTGGGAAGGCATGCTAAAAAATAAGTCTGGCAGCATGAGAAAAACAAGCTGCGAGATGATCATACAAGTTTTTAACGAGAGCCAAAGTTATGTATTTGGACACGTTAATGATTGATTCAATTATTATAAGTTACGAGTTGTGTTAGCTAGCTGTCTACATATAGCTACTAGCGAGCTACCTAGCTGTTGACCATCATCAGACATTCATTGGACTCTTGTTAGTTTTATCTTGACTTTGCCATCACTGAGTGAA